CGACTCAAGTTTAGGGAAAAAAGTGGTTGTAGGAGATTTTATGTGTTAAGTAATGAAATAATTTTCTAGAAAAGGCCTACAATCTGTCTTGTGATTTTTTAATTCCTGGGAACTCTTGCCTGGAAAAAACGAATTTGGGATTTGGCACCTGATTACTGCCTCTCTTGAAACAGTTGCATCAGCAAACTCCTGCTCCTTCTGCCTTGGACTCTGGTGAGGATCCTGAGACTGCTCTCTCAAAACTACAGTTTCACTCATTACCCCTCTCATACCTATAGAGCTTCAACCTGCCTAACTCCTTTACTCTGGCTGGATTCAGAAACACATTTTAGCTGTGTCTACAATATATCATTGTCAGTGAGATGTAAAGATCTGTGCCAGTGCAAATCCCAAGGATATAATTCTCCAAATTATTTCTTTGGGTGCAAGGAACCCAAACAAAAATGGTGTCTCACATTCCTATGGTTTGGTAAAGGGTCCTAAATTTCCTCTCTCTTCCTGGTAAATTAATATAAATTCTCTGAGCCTGCCAGGAGAAAAGGGCTTTGGGCATGAACAATACAGGATGCACGGAAGCACCAGCCTGCCGTTAGGAAAGCCTCGCACGCTCCCGTACATCACACCACACAGCCTGACACAGCAGCACAGGAAGTCTTTCATTTGAGCAGTTCACAACAGTGAGTATAAAGGGGCCGTAAGCAGCAGAGACACACATTACTCCACAAACACCACGGGATTTACTTACCCGATGACAACAATTTCCTACAGCAGTCTGAGTGAGCATTCAGCGCTGCTAAGTGTAAAGGGAACATGTTGTGGATCCCACACCTGAAAGGCACAACAGCCTCATTACACAGAGTCATGTGAAAATGCAGGTTGCAGACAGACACAACACATCAAAAGCTCCTTCCACAAAGGCAGCATTTTTGGTCCTTTTCAAGGAAGATTCTTCCTGCCATGTTATTTTTATCTGTATTTCCTTACCAGCCTTCTTGGGGGCTAAAAATAATCTGCAAAATCTGGTGATACAGCAAAATCTTGGCATTATGCTTCGAACAGAATGTGGCAGGAAGCGACATTCAAAAATCAAGATGAAAGCCAAGGTAAGAGAGGAAGCAACAGAGGAGATACTGCTTGGAGTCAATTTCCTGGTGTGGGATGCACAAATTTCTGCATCAGCTACACATAATGCAATGCCATTCTGAGGTAAAAGTAAATGCTGAAATCTTCTCAGTATTATTTCTGAAATCCATTTTTCCTGCAGTTAATGTCCTTTAGATAAATCTCATGAGGGTCTTCAAAGATCTCCCCTACTTTCCTCTCTTTCACCTCGGGCTGGGGTAGGTGGTCACTCTTCTTCATGCTTTCCTTTAGGCTGCCGTGACACTTCCAGTTTTCTTCCCACATTCTAAGAACTAAACAACTCATTTTCCTATTTGCTCCAGCTACTCCTCACAAGTCCTTCCAAATTTCTTCCCCTCTAACCTCTTTTCAACTACATGACCCTCTTTTCAATCACACTGTAAGCGTCTCGAAGCAGACATGCTGCAAGAAAAAATAAAGTAGGCACCTATCATTAGGTTCAGGCAACTACATAGTTTTTAAATAAGCCGACTGCTCAGCAGCTTTTATTAACATCAGCAAATCACCCCAGTACAGTCCCTAAGCATGCACTATTTACTCTCTTAGAAGACTTTTGGGTTTGGACACGTTAGCTTCTGTCATTCAGCATTGTTTTGTGAATAGCATCTTGTTATCCTAGAAATATTATCCTACAGGTGGTCCTCCAAGTGCACATAAACGCAGAGCCTCTGAAACCAACTATCTTGACAAGATTATCATCCACTGCCTGCTTCAGCAGATATATTTTTTAAAAATTACAAACTCTTAAACAACAGCAGATAAATTCATATCTGCTCTTCATTTCTTCAGGACAACTGGTGGATGGGAGAGAATGATCACCTCATGGAAAAGGATTTCAAACACAGATCCAAAGATGAAGGAACGTGTCTTTCTGCAAGATTCATCATAAATCATAACTACTTATGAAGCTTTAGACAAAAATTAATGTGGATGTTTATAAGGATATCTTGCTCTGTCCAGCATTTTATATATGTAATGTATGTATTTAACTAATTTTGGTTTGCTTTGAAAACTCTTTCTTTCCAGAATTCACAGACCCATCCTTCCTCTGTCTTCACGTTAAATTGTCATTCTTGTTGCTTCACTACACTGAGGAGTGCTGTACAAATTTTAATTTTGCTGGAGTCAGCATTTACATCTTAGACTAAATCTATTAAAAGCTGACCTGATAGCCTGTTCTTTGAAGGAAACAGCACAAGCCCCATGAATAGGCTGTATCTGTATAAACGTTGCACTTTTTAGCTGTGAATTCATTTATTTAAGATGACATTGGACATTCTGTATTGCTGTGCTTCTTCCTATCCCCACTTCCTTCCATCTCCTTCTCCATCTAGTCACCTAAAGCAATAATTTTTTTCTTTTTTGGTCAAGATTTCCACCCAGCACACGTTCTGGCCGGTTTCCATCAAAATACCCTATCTGCACACCTGCTAACCAGTGTGTCACACATCTATAGCAGTGGTTCCTCTCATCACTTACACACTTTCCCCTTTAAATGCAGTTGTCTCAAAGACTGCCCAAGCTGTCTGCAGTTGTTGCTAACAATGCTGCAGAGTTTTCATTTCAAAGCCAGTTCAGGTAGCTCAGCCAGAGTTATTTACATGCAGCACATATGAAAGCCCATTTCCAGCATTTCAGTGCTCCTTGTTTAGGACTGTAGCATCATTTGGATCTGCCTGGTATCTCTGACCCAACTTCTCATTTCACTTATTTCTGCTGCTTGAAAGAAGTATTTTATTCAATCAATGTTCCAGTCACCCAAGTGCAAAATAGAAATTTCTAACTGGATAATCCCGATTCCAAGCATGCATCTCTCCCGAGCCCACTGCATCTCATTTTCCCCTTAAACCTCAAGATAAGAGACAGACTGGGACTTACTTATGGTACTGGAGAAATAGCTAGCAAAAATACACATCTATTTAGACACCAAGATCTTTATTTTGGCTATGTTAAAATCCAGTGACATTAGCTGAAGCCTATGGAATCTCATTTTCTCTGCCAATTGAAGATCTGTTCCACCTTCTGAGTTTGCATGGTGACTCTCATACGTGATAAAGGAATATGGGCAAATGTGCAACTTCCTTAAACATCATCAAGCAAACAAACAAAATAGTGAGAGCTGCAAGTATCTTCAAAATTAAAACCAGCTTATTTGCATCTGCAAGCAGGTCTTCCTAACTAGGGAGGTCAAGAGAAGTCACTGATTTCTATGGTAGGTTCTAGATAGAAGACTCTTAAATTCTATTTTGGAGACAATGTGGAGCTAATTGCCAAAAACTTACATCCATCAAATCAGATGCTGCTATTAAACACCAGGTACAGATACCCCTCATGGCATTGCATTACCCTGGATTTATATCTCTTTGTTTACCTTCAGGTTTGCTATTTTCTTTTGATAGATCATAAGAACCTGAGCATAACTAACCAATACTCAAGTCCTCTTACAAAATCAAGCAGCTGACAATGTTTGAGTCAACAATACTTATCATATTGTGAGTGCAACCTTGACACATGCACAAGAGAGGAAAAAAAAAAAGAAAAAAATTGAACTGAAGCAGAAAGCACTAACATTTAGAAGTGTGTCTAATTTCAACTCCTTATGCTTCTAGTCAAAATACTTCAAAATTAGATAAAAGTAGTCCTATTATGTGAGCCACCTGAATATCAGAAACCATGCAAAATCAAGACAGGCTCTAGTTGTACTGAGATCAGAAATACTTAGTAGCATTGGCTTTGCAATACTGCATTTCTATTGATTATCTTATGTCATCCCCAAAGATACAAGGCAAAGAGTAATCATCATGTACGTCAGGCTACTAAACATGAGGCTAATTTAGATACTAAGGAATATGCACACAATTCCCTTGGAAGGCATTTGATTTTTTTTTCAATTACATTTCCTAAACAAACTCATTGCTACTTTACGGAGTAACTGTGATAAAGACGCACTTGATATACATATGCACTTCATGCACATTATATGCCACTGTGCCGTATCAATGCTTTAAGAAAAAGAAGCAGTACTTGTACTACTTGTAACTGTGTAATTGGGCACAGTGGGAATCTAGCAGGGCTTCCTTCACCTCCGTACTTCCCACACGTCCGTATTTTAGCCCGATGTCACCCACTAAAGTACAATACAATTAAGCTTATCCATTTTAACCTTCACACTTCAGAACCTTGAAGAGTAACTGTATTTCCAGGCATTGGACACAACACTCGATCATTAGAAACAGCCACCTACTTAGCAGTATCAGCTCCGCTGGTTATGAGGGTGTTAATCAAAAGCTCATGTCCGTATCTTGCAGCCACGTGCAGAGGAGTGTTACCATCCTTATCAACACAGTCGATTTCCCCTCCTGAAAAAGGACATTTTCATACAGTTTGACAGTGGAAGGTTAAGAAGAAACCAGTGACCACAAACATTATCACTCTCTAGCAAATGCAGCATAACCAGTCCAGCCACAGAGACACTAGACTTCAGAGATCAAGAACAAGCACACAGCAAGCTGTCAGCTGTCAGCCACAGGTACTGAACATGGTCTGACAGCAGCATTTCCACCTCCCTCTCAAACTGTAGTGGTGGGGAGAAGTGGTGGGAAATAGGATGACATACAACAGTCAAATACATGATTCAGACTTGCTCCTCATCTAAAGGTACAAATGGATGCCTTGAATTAAACAAAAAAAATAATAAACTGCTAAAACTATGCCCTCATTCATAAAGATGCTGCCGCTCAACCTTACCTGTAAGACAACAATGTTATAAATAGAGTTCATTCAAGAGGCCAACAGGAAGAACACACTGCAAACAACAAGAGTGTTGTGTCTCACAAAACAACCAACAGACAGTGCCTAAGTAGAACTTTTCCCATTGCAATTTCAGTCTGTCATCTCACAATCCTCACAAGCAGGAAAAACAGATCATTTCTTTCTTCTCTGCTGCAGCTTTTGACCATGCTGTTTGCTATCAAGTCCTTGTTTTCTTTTTGGACCAAGGAATTGCAATTTTTTCAGTCTCTCCTCGTAAGTCAGGTTTGTTGCACTTCCACTATTCTCATCCTTCCCCAGTTCTCTCCAGCTGCCCCACAACCTTCTGGAAGTACAATGCCAAAAGCCAGAAAGAGTTGATGTCTCCCAGCAGTGAGCTGAGCAAAAGGGTTACTTCATGCCTTCTGGCTACACTAAAATCTATAAGCTCCTCTACAATGTACAGCACCGTGTACTTTGTTGATTTTTTTTTTAAGCCCCATGACACTGTTGACACATGGTCAACAAGCTTCTGATCCTCTACAAGCCCCAGATCCTTTCTGGAGGAACTACCACCCACCTGGCTGTTGCCATTCCGAACTTGTCCAACTGATACTCCTGACTGTGTGTGGGATCTTTCCTTTGCTTCACTCGCACTGTAACTTCTGTCTCCAATTTTACAGAATCTTTTTCTATTCTGACTCCACCTTCTGCCAAACTAACAGCATCTCCCAGCTTCATGTTTTCTCCAAATGTTAAAAGTACGTTTTCTATTCCACTGTCCACGTTGTTAATGAAAATACTGTATAGTTTCAGACCCAGGAGAGAAACTTAAAACCCCCTCTCTACACCTTCCATTTCAACAACTGACCTCCAAGTGTATTTTATCAACTAGTTATGCACCAAAACTGTAATACTTTAAGACTCCACTGGTTTGCTGTGAGAATACTTTATGAAAGCAAATAAAAACACTTGCTAACATCAGGATACGGTAATATTTACTGCTTGTCTGCTATTCACAGGAGATAACAGGCCATATCTGCAACAAGCTAAGTTCTAGTAAAGCACTATATAGCATTTTCTAACGGTAAATAAAGGTCAGTGAAATGCTGGAAAAGGTTTCCTGGAGTGGAGCCTCCACCAGCAGAAGTGTCCACAAACATTACCTGCCCACAAAAAAGTCAGAGGACTGTGTTGTGTTCACAAAGCCTACTACTGCTGTACAAGAGAATTATGATGTTTCAGCACCTTTAACTCTTGAGAAATCTATGCCAAATATTGTCCAGTCCTCCCTGAGTGTTCACAAACAGTTCATTCATTTGCTCATTTCAGAATTTTTGGCTGACCTATGTAAAACTTTCCAGCTTTTCTTTTTCCCCATTTTAAAAGATAGGTATGATATTTGCAATTTTCCAATTTTAAGATAATCCATTCTTCCTCTACAACTTGCTAGAGACAGCAGCCAGAAATTGAGACATCTTTAGCCAGTTCATTAAGTACTGCAGAATGAAACTCTATTTCTTGAAATCATTGACATTTATCCCATGGCAATGAGACATAAAGTCACTTGCAATCAGATCTGTGTACAATACTAAAATTAGAGGGGCAGCAAATTAAGAAAGAAAAAAGTGAAACCCAAGTAACTTGAAGAAGAGTAAAGAGGCATGAAGGACAGATGAAGAACTGCCAGTCCTTTCACACACAAATACAAATGAAAGCAAACAACAGATATAAGACAGAAAGCATATTTGACTAGACTAAAAATTGCATTAAAGCACAGTTTCTCGTAGTTTGCCCAAGCTCCTTTTATTATTACTATTTTATTTATCCAAGGAGAGCTAGGACAACAATTCCATGTTGATCTGAACGAAGCATGATGTACTGAAGACCTCCATTTTAAAATACAATCTTGTGTAAATGTGTCATTACATTTACAGAGTAACTGTTCAGCCATCTTGAACATCTCACTTAAGTTCCAATTTTGGGATTTTGGAAAACAAACAAAAAAACCAACCAGCCAAGAACAAACCCCAGATCATTCTGTCTGGTATAGTGGCCAAAGCTGGGAAGCATAAGTAAACAATCAGTAATAGCAACCTCTGTCAATCGGAAACAGGCTTCTGCCACATCTCCAACAATATTTGTTATACTCTGTAGTACTTGGACAAAAGAGATATACCTGATAAAGGACTGATAATCAGGAATCCTGGCTATGCCAGAACAAACAAGGTGGCGCTGGTCCACCCTCCTGAGTCTTCAACACTTATGAAGAGAGTGGCAAGGGGTGGAGCTAAGGGAGGTGAGAGAAGTAAGGCTGCTGAGTGAAGGATAGAGAAAATGGTCTGAGCTTTAAAAACACCAAAGCTCCCGAGGGAGGACAACTAGAAACCTTTTCTTTCTTTTATTTTTTAAATAATTTGAGAAAGAAAGTTGTGCCTGCTTCTCAGCAGAAAAAAAAGACCTAAATACAGCTGTGAACTCTTGTTTTCAGGTTAAGAATCACAACAGATCAGCTGGACCACTGTCAGCTGGAGGAATATGGGATTTTGTTAACAACCAAAATCTCAACTTGTGATGACACACTGGGATGAGAGCTGTCAGTGCAACTCAAAGACAGAAGTTGACGGAGATCTAAGCAGCTCTCAGAGCAGTCCTTTGGCACTCTGGGTCAGAACAACTGAAAATTGCAACCTTGGAAATAGCTACTCTTTTGGAGAGTTGTTAAACAGGCACAGAAACTCACCATTCTGAATGAGGGTCTGTGACCGCGTGAACCTCCCATGGACAGCTGTCATGTGCAGTGGGCTCTTCCCATCCTTACTCTAGCAGAAACAAAACATAAACCCAACTATTTAGCATATAAAGCAGTGCAAACATTTGAAGTCCCTCAGCTCAACGCAGCTATTCTTCAGACAAAACCTCCACTGGCTTCAAAAGTCTGTAGGACTGAATCGATATATCATGGTAAATGCAGAAGTTATAAGCATACAAATAAAACAGTTCCTCAGCAATAAGTAGGAAATGGGCTGGAGTGGAGCCCATCCTTACAGCCTGGCTGTACACAATACCTGCTAGAAACCTACAGATATATGATATATTTTTCTTGAGTATTATTTTTAAGTAACATTTCCCATTCAGTCATTATTTTCCTTAACCCTTGCAATGAGGGGAAAAAAGAAAAGCAAAGGAACCATAAAGCTAAGTAGAAGCAGCCTCTGAGAGAGTCAAGAACTATATCCTGTTTATCAAACTACATTTTATAGATATATCCCAGAATAAAATCCACTATATTGAAAATTCTTGTTTAATAAATTTCCACGTGAGATAAAACAGGATGTCTACATAAGACAATAAGAAAACAGGGAAGGCATACGAAAGGAAAGGTACAATGAGTAGTGATCAAAGTTTGGAGTCCTAGAGAAAAAACCTGAGAGTGGGGAAGCCAAGGACCTGAGAAAATAGCAAGGGAAGGGTACAAATCTCACTACTTACATCACTTCATGTTTATCGGCATGGGGTTTCATATGCATTGGCAAGCACAATCCCTAATTTCATTTTAATAATTCTGGGTTTAAATAGTGCACTGACTATTCACTGATCTCAAGGGACTTGCAAGAGGTGTTAAATACTAGGAAACCAGTTTTACAGATGGGAAACTGAAACACACAGAGTTTAAAGCAAAGCAGTCAAAATCTTATGTGAGCTCAGAGATCTCGAGTCTTCTGGTACCTACACCAGAACCGTTTGCTGGATAACAGCAATGTCAATTGTATCCCAAGAACACTCAGATATCCAAAACAGAATCAGACTTTGTAGACTCAGACTCTAAACCAGGTAAACAACCAACCTTCAGTTCTTACTTCCCTGGAGGAAGTCAAAGGGAACTTTTTAGAAACAGGTTTAATTAAATCCATATTGTAGAGGGAAGTAAAACACTAGAAAGGAATAGTTCCTTGACTTACCACCACTCCCTGAGATAACATTTTAACAGAGCTCCTGGGACTATATTTTAGTAGTGGTTCATGCCTTGAGGAGAGTGGCTGGCCTAGAGTTTAAAGCTGTCATTATATTTATCAAGGCACTGAGAGCTCCTCTGCTGGGAAGTAATCTCATCCAAACAGTTTAATGATCAACATTCTCAGCATCACTCTACTTCCATCAAGGGTTTAAAGCCATGCTGTACTCATTATTACAGTTTCCAGTCCCCTGAGGTATGCAAAATAGGGTAAAGTAAAACTGAAGAGCTGCAATGCAAGTTTTACCTGAACGTTAACATCTGCCCCATTATTCACGAGTAGTTCAAGACACAGTGCTCCATGAGTGGAGGCAGCAGCAAAATGCAAGGGTGTGAATCCGTTATTATTAGGCTGATTTACATTAGCACCGTAGTCAATCAGCTCATTAACAACAGAATCCTGACCATTGTAACAGGCAATGTGAAGTGCAGTATTTCCATAGATGTTCATTTCATCAATCTAAAATGAGACAAGGAGACACAGTTAAAATTACAGACATCAACTTCCCATTTTACATAATGCATCACATACTGCAAATGGAAATGGCTGGAGGCTTGAACTGTCATAGGGCATATTTCTCACCAGCAAATTTCATTGACAAAAATATACTCCCAGAGAGCTTAATTTGGAATGCTTTACCTTTCCTATTATTAACATTTTATCCTACTGGCAATTTCTAAAAGACACATAAAGCTGATAGCAGGACTATATAACGATGATGATGATGAAAACTTTTACATATAAATGGGAAAGCAGAATAAATAAAAAGTTCACAATCTTTATTAAAAACAAAACAAAACCAAACCTCAAGAAAACAACAAACTAAAACACCACCACTATACAGAATCAGGCTTAAGAACTCTTTCCATTGATTTCTTTTGTGAAGGGAGTGAAGGTGTCTGAGCAAAGGGAAGGTGAAACTTCACAGCGGTTTACACTTCAATAGGAAGTACACTTCAGTACACTTAAGTAGCTCAGTATTACAAAGATGCAATTAAGATTATGTTACTTCTCGATGACTGGCTTAGTATTTAACTGCTGTTCTGTAAAACAGGACAATACAGATTGCAAAAAAGACTCAGAGATGATGTGAATACCCTTCCACAAAATACAGGCATCTCAAAGGTCATATCCCCAGTGGTGGAGAATGTGGAAGTTAAAGGTAGTTACTAGAATAATACTGCGAGTAACAGGAAACACCTATCCCCTTCAACTTCACAGACTGTGAACAAGGTCTTCTGACATTTTTTTGGCAAGTCAAGTCAGCTGAAAGTGCTATGGCAAATGCAATAGCTTTATTTGACATCTTTGATTAACCAGTGCAGACTCTTCCGGTCATCATACTGCTGCTTTGAAGCACCGAGCTGACAATATTACAGTTAGAGAAGTCAATGCTACAAAAATAAGTTATTTTCCAGAGTGAAAACCATCCTTCTCCTTCTCTCTGTCAGCTACCGAGGAAATACAGGCCCCTAAACTTAAACAGCCTAAACTGCTGTTTAGTAAATTACACAGTGAATATGTTGAGAACAACCACTCATTATATCAAAAAGAATACCAAGCCAAGGGAAATTTCATTACTGCATCTTCCTCTGCAGGAACAGCATTTTTTTCCTGATTTCTTCAGCAAGGTAGCTTGGAATTTACTGTCCATATCAGACATTTTTTATTCCAGAATATTTCCTAGCTCTTGAATTAATAAACCACATAAAGCACAAAGTGGTCCAAAAAATGGCAACTATTTTCTTTTGAAGCTCTGACAATGTTTGAAGCAGCATCCATAAAAAAGAAGAAAATAATAACTCGAAACATGGAAGCCACACAGAGCACATTACCACATACCTCTACCCCCAGGTTAAGGAGGTGTTTCACAATGTTAATCTGCCCATTGGATGCAGCTGCATGAAGTGGGGTGTAACCCTTCTTGTCTTTACAAGTCACTTCTGCACCATGATTAATCAGTAAGGCAACAACTTCCAGGTGACCTTCAAAAGATGAAAGACCGTAATCAATGAGTATACCACCCTACAGCATCACTTCTCCCAAATAACTGTTTTCCTGCTAATGCACTGCCCCTTTCACTGCTGTTTCATAATGCTCCCACAGTTTTACAAGACAAAAAAAAGCATTTTCGTAAATGATCTTAATCCTAGCTCCAGGCCTTGTCAAGATATCCATGCATTCATCTTCACCAGATGTACCCAATCTACCTTTTCTAAATTAGTTTTCCAGTCATTAAAAGAACAAAACCACACCATTTTCTCATTTATTAATCTAAAAATAACAGTTTGTGTTCTATTCTCCCTGTTACAGAAAGAACGGTGAGCACAGGAGTGTGACAAGTCTTACAAAATATTGGGTTGGCCCAAAAGTCATTGCATTTTTTCTAGGTAAATGAAAAACAAATTTTCCATGGGAAACAAAAGCTGTATTGAACAATATAGTGTCTACTTTGTTCAGTTACCTTTTGCCATCTTTCAGGCAACTCTGTGATTCCATGCTCAAAAAAGTTCTTATCTTTTTCAGCAAAAACCAGTTCCAAGAACAATTTTATATCCTTGTCAGCAGTGAAGGTTTTACCATTCAAGGCGTTTTGTAAAGAACAAAACAAAGAGTAGTCTGATGGTGCCAGGTCTGGCAAATATGGTAGATGCAGTAACACGTCCCATCCCAGCTGCAACAATTTTTGACGAATGACCAAACTTGTCTGTGGTCTGGTGTTATCATTGAGAAACACAACACCTTTGTGATTCACCAATTCTGGACGCTTCTGACTGATGGCATCATTTAATTTACCCAGTTGATGACAGTACACATCTGAATTAATGGTCTGGTTCCTTGGAAGCAATGCAAAATACACAATACCTGTGAAATTCCACCAGACTGACAGCAGAACCTTCCTTTCGTGAATATCTGCTTTTGAAGAGCTTTGAATTGATTCATCACACTTGCTCCAGGATCTTTACCATTCATTGTTGTTGTAGACAATCCATTTTTCATTGCCTGTTATCATATGTTTCAAAAATTTCCTTCGAGTTTCAAGAGAGAATCGCAGACGTCAATGTGCTTGGTGAGATGAATTTCTTTGAGCTCACGTGGTACTCAAGTATCGAGCTTCCCAACATATCCAAGTTGTTTTAAATGGTTTTCAATGCTCAATTTTAATATGTTAAAATTATCAGCAATTTCTCATCATTTAACACTGATTGGATTTGATCCATGCCTTTATTTTGTCATTAGCAACTTTAATTGGCCTTCCTGAGCGTGGTGCATCTTTACCATCAAAATCTCCAGACCAAAATTTAGCAAACCAATTCTGACACTGTTTTAAGGCATCTTCACCATACACATCACATAACTTTTTATGAGCTTGCACAGCGTTTTTCCTTTTCAGAAGTAATACAGCAAAATATGATGAAAATGTTCCTTTTGATTTTCCATTTTAAAATCAATGTCAAATTAATAATTGTTAACAAAATCGTGCTTTTTTTTTTCTAAAACAAGCTTGAACTGTTAGCTGACAAGGTACATAATTAATTTGTGGTTTAAAATTAAGTTAGTTACATTTCAAGACACATATGTCCATCTATTGAAAAGAATGCCATTACTTTTTGGACAACCCAATGTTTATGTCATTTGAAAACACAACCAGTGACACTTGTTGGTTCTTGTTAGCAATACAAAATAACTTTAATAAATTATAAAACGAAGGTATCCTCATTTCTAGCACCACTGAGGACACAGAAAACTGAATTTCAAGTAAATGCAGAATTTGATCCAAAGCCTACCAATACAATCACCAGATTTTCTACTGAATCCCCTGATTTTTGGATCAGGCTTTTGACTCTCCAAAACAGTACTGTTAACACAAAACTGTACCAAAAAATCTGAATATACGTCTAAAAATGTTTGAATCTGAACTCATAGTCTATACACACATACATAGTCTGTAAACTAAAATAACTGCAATAGCCTCAACAGTCACACAGATTGAGAGCTGACTGTCAGATGAATGGGACATCTGTCTTCAGGAGTGAAATGCCTACCATTGAATAAGCATCTCCCCACAGGATACAGGGGAAGAGTTGAGTATCTCAAAATGCAACTTATAACTCACCTGTATCTTCAGTTTCCTGTTCTCCCTAAAGGTCTCAAGTCATCTGGCTTGTCTTCCCACATAGTGCCCTAACCACCAAAATTAAATCAAGGCTAACTGAGGAACAGTCTTTATTGCTTCATGTTGAAGCAGAGCTGTCTTTCTTAGAATTAAAAATTTATTATGTCAAACAACATATAAAGTTGTGCATCATCTGAGGTGTACAACACCTCCATGAGAGAGACAGCTCTGGTCACATGCAGGACCTAGGAAACTTTATGGACAAAGTCCAAAGTGCCCAAAGACATTTAAGCATTCAAGAAACTACATAGTAGTTTATAGGATAAGATGCTTAGGTCTCACTGTCTAAAGTCTGTCAATTCACACTACAGTCTCCTAAATTCCATTGCTAATTTAGGCCTTAAATGTAATCTCAGTATTCTGAAAAGCACATTGTGAATTTCTGAAAATAATTAAGAGGAAAAAAAAGGTGTGGAATTGCACAGCACAATGTAAAAGCCTTTTACATCTACAGAGTGGAGTTCAGAGCTCGCTAGCTCAAAAGCCAAGTGACACACGTTGGCAAGAGTCTTTCCATCTGTTTGTGTATATCAAAAAATGCACAATATGCTTTTCTCACAGTTTGAAATCTCCTATTATCTCATTTCTAAAAGCATCAGGATTAAAATCAAGATTTTGACGGGTCAGATGAAAGAGTTTCTGGCCGAGGGCACACAGCACCTAACAAATTATAATCTGGAACATACTGCTTGGCCAAAAAAGCTCTTGAACAGGTATGACCACTATCACAGGCAATCCTGTTCCAGTATTTCAAAATCAGAATGCCCCACTATAAGAAATCTGACTCGAAAGGAATTATAAGGTCAACTTATTTAACTCAGCATTATTTGGTAACACCATTGATTTTTTGAAAAGACAAATTGGTTGCTCTTACCAACTCTGGAACAAAATATGACTATTTGCTTCTAACAGAAAGAAAGCCTATGAAGCACTTCCTAACAATAATTTAGTTACTAATAAACATAGATAAACAGCAAAGTTTTTGATCGTATTTATCTGCATTTTATATAGTTTTTAGCAAAAACTGAAGCAAATATAACAAATACTCTTCAGGCTGGAATTAAGAGTCAGGATAAAAAGACCAAAATGACTAAAAAAGCAACAAAAAACCCCACAATTAACTATGTTAAAAAGGAAATCACAGCTAAGTTCCCTCCAGCTGCAAAACTGTAAGTGAACAGTGTGTATATTTAGATCAGCTGAACTCTTCCCTCTTCAGGGTAAATACAACGCTCAATCTCCATGGCCAGGTCTGCTCTTTGTCCATTTTAAAACTTGCTGTTAGTTTGTGAATAGGATATTAAAAAGAAGGAGCAACAGCCCAAGCCTTACCCATGTATGCTGCCCAGTGCAGAGCTCTCCTGTCCTTTTTGTCAAAAGCATTGATGTTTGCCCCCTTGGCTAATAGCAAGTTCACCATCTAGAAGTAACAACAGCAAGTAAACCGACCCTGTAGATCACATACTCAACAGTTTATAATAAATAATTCTAGCATGGTGCAGACAGGCTCCAGGCTGCGTCACATACAATGCTGGCCTTTAATACAGCATGCCTAAGGGGTGAAAAGCTGCTTTCACCATTGCAAATCATCCAGCATCAAATGTAAGAAATATCAGGGGAAAAAAAGAAAGGAAACTAAATAGAAAACACACTCAACAACTGTCTTTTTCAGCAAAACATTCTAATATCATAAATTAGCAATCAGGATGACTGCCTTCCTCTTGTACACTGCTTTTCCACAGAGATTGGCTAATAATAGCATATATTCAGCTAACATTTCTGATATATTCCATCCAAAAGCTCAGAAGCTTTAGATTATGATGGTTAGACTCAAGCCATTACAATCTTTTTCCTACAGTACAGTATTTTAAATGTCAAACACCATCATCATTTTACAGGAACTACCATTCCTCTTTCTTCATTTAATTACAGTACAACTGATCAACTTTTGTTGTCAGAAGCCTACTGTTTCAGTTTAGGAGTTTTTATTCCACATCTAGATCTTCCAGTGTGGAGTAATCAAACAAGAATCCTTGCACCCAGATCTCAAGGCACTAGCAAAATCCTTTACACAGGGTAGTTACAAAAGTATGGCTATTTTCCTACCGAAACAGTAATTAGACTAGAAGGGTCTGCTTGTGTAAGACAAGTAGAAAAACCAGAAGCACATTTTCTAGAAGACTAATTAGAACAGCAGACCAACTGGATGTCACACAGCTGAGAATTTCTTCAGTATGAAATGAATCCACCAGTTTTCCTTTTGTTCCATTCTGCCACACTTATTTTCACAGGCGGTCAAGCTCAAGAGAGCCAAGGACACACTTGAGCTGCCGAAGCTGGCGGCACAGCCAGCTCTCCAGGTCTGCACACATACCTCACTTGCATGCTGGCTCTGCACAGGTACTTTCCAGCCACTATCTCGTTTCTGCAGGTAGGAAACCTGTCGCACAGTTTGGAAGGCAGCTGAATGACAGGAATCGGGGGGGTCAGGGACACAGGGCTCAGCCTAGACCCAGCCACAGCAGGTCAACTGCATAAGCTGGGAAAATAAATAAATAAACCAACGATCAATCACACTCTTAAAAAACTCACTTCAATGTGGCCATTCAGAGCTGCATGGTGCAATGCCGTCCGCCCCCCTCGGTCAGAGACGTTGACACTGCTCAGCATGGGGATGATGACTTCCGCACACTTCACTGCCTTGTTTGCCGCCGCCACATGCAGTGGTGTCTGCCAGTTCTTGTCCCGAGCATTGACATCGGCTGAGTGCTTAATCAACACCTGCACTGCTTCCTGCAACAGCAACACAGTTATAACCATAACCAAGCAGCTCCAATAAATACACAGCCCACCTTCTTGACAGCTCAATCATATTACCTATGCATATCACTTACACATATCAGACATGTGAACATTTATCATAACAAACTCCCAGGCTACTGAAATGGTATTGTTTATTCAAGTGCCAGAGTACGCAACATCTTTGCTGTCATTTGGAGCAGTGTCCTCACAACCAAAATTTCCCCATTTGATTTTAGGATGCACAAAGCTGCCTATGTAGAAAGCCCAACCTGTTCAGTTGACTAACTTTCAGTACCTCAGTCATCATGACTGCTCTCATTGAAGAAATGAATGTACTTTTTTGAGCTCACTGTTAAAGAATTGATTTACGAAATGAAAAGCACATCATTTTGGACAGTAAAATAACAGCAAATTGCAGTAAGCTTTATTTATAAACAGGAAAAAGTAGAAAATAGAATATGCAAAACCAATTTTTTAGCTTTACAAAAACATGAGAATCACAGTCAAGGGTTGATGCTGGTGTCCCCAAGTTAGTATTAGCATTCCTTCCCTCCCGGAGGGCTGAGCACAGGCCAAGGGTCTTCACTGCAACATCCATTCTGTTAGCCTGGGACCAAACAACATCTTTTAAGGTTAACTTTTTTCTGTTAGAAGTGAACATTTCCCAGCAATAAAATGTGCTGTTCCCTCTTAAGAGACTGTCTCACTGGAGAATTCACAATCAGTTCTTTTATGCCTCTACTCACGCATCTGCCATTAAGCAAGTCAGATGGATAAAAAAGTCTCTCTCAAAATTACATTTTGTTTCTTCTTCCTTTTTTCCCCACAAACAAACAAAATACAAAGGAACCACTGGGACACAGTAGCATTCAAGTAGCCTTGTCTGCTGATTACAACTCACAGCTGGTAAGTGGGAGAGCCCTAGTCCTACATGGTACCCTATCCTTTTTTACGAATACTGATTTTCTGGTAAGCCCAACCAAAATTTTATTAATGAATAAAAAACACAGGCAGTGTGTTTAAACAGCACTTTTGTATGTAGAATGACCCAGAAGAATGCCTGCAGTCTGTATCAACAATATGTCCATCACTAGGAGTTTTAGTTCTTTGCCCTCAACAATCTCAGCAATTTCATTTTCTACAGCCATTTCACAAACGGTCCTCCAACAGATTTGTTCAGTCAGTGACATTACACCTCTTACAGCACCAACAGTGATATATCACTGTTGACGTCCCAAAAGATTTTCTTTTTTAAATTACAGGTCTACAGTTTAAAAAGTCATTTAAATGTAATTCACTGCAGACATATCCAGCTGGGACATGAAGTCTTTTTAAAATTCATGCACTTTAACTCTTAACAAAGGAAGGAAGAAGTTAAAGGAGAATTTTTAGAAGTAAATAGTAAGGACTGAAATGTCTAAGCTAAAAATATTTAGACTTTCTAAAATCATATTTACACATCTTTTGTTTACCTCTGCAAATCTGCTGCTTTATCAGATTTGGGATCAAAATGTTAAAATCCTTATAAGGAAGTTTTAATTGGATTGCTTTTGAGAGCACGAGCTATATCTTTTTATTAAAATAATTTATACACGTCCATGCAGTCCACAGCTACGGTGGAAACCTCTGTATTCAGCGCGTCTAGATATCCCAAGTCATCAGAGTGAAATCTCTTTACTTTTTCAAACCCTGTAAGGCTGAAAGTGATACATCCATTAACAATCCTGCACAGACACACCAGCAGGTTGTTGATTTGTAAATAAATATTTTAATCTCTACAATCTGCTTGAAAAATAATTAAGACTTCAGTAAAAATCTGTTCATGCTTTTAATCAGTCTATTAAAAGGGTGCAAGGAGATAGCTTCTGAATCCTGAGAAAACTTCATAATAAAAGATCAATAATAAAGCTTAAAACTGATAGGTGATCATTCTAAAAGCAATTAAGCTCACAGGAACTTCAAAAACCACACCAAGTCCTACTGGTCAACAAATTAATCTCCTGCTATCACTGTGAACACCACTGTGAACTATGAATTCACCTACTGCTATCTACTACTATCACTATCAGCGTTGTCCTATTATATTGACGCAGCACATTTGTTAGTCTGTGCAATAAAGTAAATGGAGCACTGGAAAAGCCTCAACATGCTGAGTCTGTTTCAAAATTATTAGCAACAGCAGCAATTACCACAAAAATAACACAGAAAAAGGACCAGAAGAAAGTGATGTTTTATAAAAGATATAGCAGCCCATGAAATGGCACCAAAGGCTGATGCCTTCCCCCGCTGCCTCGCTATTGCACCCGGGTGCTCACTTTCAGGTACCAGAACTGTTGGCGCAATAGGAGACAGTTCCTCTTTGTGCAATTGGCCTTCAGCTGACAAAGAGTTAAAGATGAGACACAAACCCACAGAAAGACGTACATTTTCTGTCAGGACTGTCACTGACAATAAAAATCACGTACTCTGACGCATCCGAAGAAAGAAACCAAACACAGTGCAATTACCGCATGAGAAAGACTGTGGCTGTTTCTAAGGTTTAGGTTTGATCTTTGTTTTCCCACATGTTTTTTTGTATTTTGCCTCATTACAGCATTCGTACTCTATCGGATATTCCTTTCAGAGGGTTTCAGCGGATGCCAGCAGCTGGGAAGCTCAGCCAGCAGCCAAACAATGCCTGAGTTCAGAAGCAAGCCCAGGATTCCTGCCTTCAGGCTTGGCAAGCGCTGGCACTGTTACGGAGGTGATTCCAGTCCATCAGTGTCTGGAAGACAGCCACCCTCTGTCTCTTTCACAACCCTTCCCCCTTGTGTCCAGCAGCCAATTCGGTCTGCAGTTGGGCTAACTGTTAACTAAGTATTAGGACAATAAAAGTATACAGGGAGGTCCCAGATGGAAAGCCAAGAATAATGGCGCAGTTGAAAACAAAGTCATGCCTGAGCTGCATTCCTGATAGTTATTGCTGCTGCTTTTTGAGATAGCAATGGAAAAGTAAAACATGATGGCCAGAAGATTTCTAGTTGTCAAGTAGAAGAAATATGGGCTAGCCCTCCTTTATGCACGAATCAAATGCATTAACAGAAAACCTAATGGTTGCCTTGAAATGCAATTAACCAAAACAAACTAGGTGGTAATACGCGTTGGATCACACACACATCCACTCCTTTTTGGCACACACACGGTATGCACACATCCATATGGATTTATTCCTATTTATTTCACCACTTGAAGATGATGTGCCCACTGTGGGCTCTATTCCACTTTAGTCCTGGTCAACCACTCCAGCTGATGGTTGCTCAGTATGACTCGCTACGGTAACATAAAGCATTCCACAAGGCAAAAATCAACCACATTAAGGCTCAAAAGCAGCTATAACTAACTTGCAAAAGCTGGCCTCCAGCTCCAAGGCTAAAGGCCCTGAACACACGAAATGCTTTCCCTGATCGCATCACCACACTACCCACTACAGCTCCCAATGGTTTGCTTTTTCCCTCATCACGTAATTTATGTGCAAAAGCAGGGTAATCAAATTTTACTCACTTCACTTCTTGAAGCAACTGCTCGATGGAGAGGAGTCAGCCACATATTGTCCTTGGCATTAACACGAGCGCCTGCAAGTAAAGAGCAGAGGTTACATCCATGCCTTGGATGTGACACTGAAAGCCTTGGCCAACTGTTTCCCAGTAACAAGAGCTGAGCCATATGTGATACTCTCATCACTCCCCATCACTCTCCTGGCGCCCTGTTCACCTTCAAAATGCATTTCCAGATCCAGGATAGACAGGAGCTGAAGTGCTATTTGGAAAGAAAGGAACTGGATAGGTCAGACTATTATCAGAAATAGCTTTGCTTACAGGACACAAAAGAAGCAAGATTTGTTGTAGGGGTTCACATACGTATGTATGTCTATGTAGATGCATTTTTTAGATCAACTGAGACAGTTGGGGAAAAAAAGCAGGCCTTTGCTCAGAGCACTGCTGCTGTCCGCAGACATAATGAAGGGAACAAACCTGGACAACCGTCTCTTGTTTCCAGCTCCATCAGCCAGGCTACTAAAAGATATAATGTATAATGTTTCCCTGCTTCGAAAATCTTGCTGGGAAATGCTCAGGTTGAAGAGGAAACTGGGCACTTACTACCTCAGCTTCTGTGGGTGCTATTCAGCAAACATCAGAAGAAGAGGGATGAAGGAGACTATCTATGTGCCTTCTGTGTGCTTCAGCACTAATGTACACTCTGACAAAGACAGCTGTGCAAGAGAATGGGCTTGGGGTGGATTGCCAGAATAAAGCATAAAGGAAGATTATTTAACAACTACAGTGGTGCTGGCTGACTGCAGACAAAAAAAAATAAAAAGATCCTGTACATTTGTGTGATAAAACAGATTTGTTTGAAAGAAATAGTAAAGCTATTCACCGATGTGATGCCCCAGAAAGGAAATCTAGTGAAAAGGACTAGAGAAACTAATTGTAAAAAGGGCTTAACCTGAAAATGTTGTACCTCTCAGGTTTGCAGGTAGCAGTACTAGTCTGAGAGAAGCAAATGCAGAAAAATTTTTAGAGAAGCACAAGTAGCACACACATAGCCTGGATGAGCCCCTGAACTTCATGAACAAAGGGATTCTTAAGCTTCATTTTGCACTATAACTTAAGTGCATACAAAAGCCTGTAGTTAATAAATCACACTCTGAATCAGAAGTACTTTCCGAGAGCCGTTTCTCAGGAATATTAAGGTCCTTGCCTCTGAATCACTGTGGTTACTGGGAACTGCACTAGATAATCAGAGAAGAAACAAGTTCTTTCATATTTCCACAAGTTGGGATATAATTTTTTGGCTGCAAGGAGAAGAAAGACACTTTCATAACTATTGCAACAATTAGAGGCAATCTTCCAAACTCTCCTCAGAACCTCAGATCTGGTGGCACAAATCTGCCCTCTGGAAAAACACCCATTAGAAAAGACAACAGTGTCAAAGGGTTTTCTAATGAATCTATATAAGCAAGGAAGCTGTTACCTTGTTTTGCCTTAGCCGTTACCTTGTTTTGCCTTCATGAGAAGACCATTATGGCTGATACACGTTTGTATCCTGCCCTTTGCCTACACTGCCGAGGCTCTAGAGACACCTAAGGCAGCAATCACCTTCACCATCAGGAAGCTGGCGGACAGGACTACCTCCAAGGCACCTTACATTATACTTATTTGGCCTGGTAGGGCTCTTGGGGTTGCACATTGCCTAGATGAATTCCTAATGATTGCCACAAAATACTTCTTTTTGGGTTTAGAAATTAATTTTGTATTTGCCTTGGTTTTTTGTCTTTATGTCCTTAACTACAGTTTCTTGTGGTTCATTTCTACGCATTCACTAACTCCTTCAAGCAGATGGTTGGAAAGCAGAAAGGCTTATGCATGGAGTAGCAAACTGTGACAAACATTTCATTCCTCAGTATTCAACAACTCCAGTGACACTGGTGAATACGAAGATGATTAGAAAACCTAGGGAACTGCCTCCATCAGTAGCTATTCATGCCTTTCACTGATCCACTCACCCTTTGAGAAACTGAAATAGTTGCCAAGAAAACAGCTGAAGAAAATAACAAAAGCAAAACAATACCAGAATAAATAAAATAATACACAGCATGATAGCCTTATCTTCTTCAGTTGTTTCCCACATTACCTCTTTGTGCTTTGGGAGTCTTTATGTGACAAGGTGAAATTGCTCTTACATATCTAATTCAATGCATTGGCTGAATATGTTTGTGATTTCTGTTTTTAAAGCGCTGTACAATTCAGCTGTAGCCTGTTACAGAAGCAGCTGTTGTCCGTTTACTGAGGTCCACATTTTCTGAAGAGCCATTTTGAAATGTTTCCATCTTTACTGTTCATTTCCTTTGCCAAAATTCATCTTTTAGCTTCTCTTGCAGGCAATGGTTAGTGACAACAAAAAACTTCACCAGCACTGATGCACTCCTCCAGGGACAGAAAATGTCTGCCATTTTAAAGGAGAGCAAGCAGAGGGACCCTGGGAGCAACACTCACATTTTCAAAGGTGTCCTCTACACTTCACAAACTTGACTGCCCATCCTGTAACAGCCCGAGTGGAACAGACAGCTCTTTGAAAGCACAGAGCAACACAGAAATCAAACTTGACCTACTAAGTGCTCTACAACATGCTAAGGCACCTACAGTCAGCTGTATCAAAAAATCTGAAGCTTAAATTTTCAAGTCCATCCCACAGCACTTCCTCAAAGTCACCCAGAATTCAGTGTCCCTCTCTTCACTCTGGATCAAGTACATTAAGGGTGCTTCAACACACTTCCTACAACACTCCAGAAATTAATCTGTGTGTTTATAAGGACAAGAGGGCTGATAACACACTCAAACTGGTGTATATGGCATCCCTCATAGTATAGTCTTCCTTGAAAAGATAAGCTGTTTTAAAGATTTCCCTTAATATCCTTCCAGCTAGCCACAGCACCCGCGCACTCCCACAAAATATCCACTTTAAAAAAGACTTTTCTCAGCCCCATCCCCTGAACTCTGACCTGGGAGTGCTCATGCCTATGGGTGTGAAGGAAAGGCTTGGCCATTGGATTTGCTTTGTGAGGCTTACGTAGACAACATAAGTATAACTTTACAGATAAAATCAAGAGAGAGGAAACTTCCTGTAATCCACTCTTCTTTAATATGGCTTTTTTATAATCTTTGCCATCTTTCAGTCTCAAATTTTTCTGCCAAAAGAAGGAATAAATCTGAAATTGCCTCTGTTTTGCTGAGATCTGAAATAAACAACCCGGTGCTGGCTTTCAGGAATAAAATTAACATCTCTTTATCCTAACCAAAGTACAACTTTCCATCCAGCACATCTGCAAAATCCACAGATCTCCAATAAATCTAGATTCTTCAGCCTAATTGTCTGAAATTAAGGATGGTCAACAGAGAAAGTAAACTCTATTGTTTAACTTTTTCATGACATTATTAACATGCACCTTTCCAACTCCTGCTCTGAGGCACAGCAATGGACACATGAAAATATAAGGAATGCCCCCCACGGCCCACCACACACAGAGACACACAGTATAAAGCAAAGATCAGCACAAATAAAATAGAGTGGCACCAGCTGACAGATGAACTGGGACCCTCAACGTGAGGGAACACACCACCACTGGAGATGTGAACACAGTAACTGAAGAGCTTGGGAACACCTACATCGTGGAACCAGGAGGCAAGTCTGAGGCACTTGCTAGGGAGGGACATAGGCTGAGGATTCCACCAGGTGCGAGCACACAGGTCCTGGGTCACTCATGAAGGAGAGAGGAGATAGTACTGGAACATCCTCTAAACTTTCACCCAAAGAGGATATTCCTAATCTCAAAGGACCGGAGTCTCAAAGCCATAGGAAAGGCAGAGCAAAGGCTGCCTCTCCAACACACCTTTTCTTTAGGGTGCCATAGAAGAGGAGGCCCTGAGCGAGGGGTCAAATCACACAGTGCCTTCCCCTGCTGCCTACACAACAGAGATGGCCCAGAACCTGCTGTGCATGTCACAACCTCACTCCAAATCTATGTGGCAGAGCTTACCAGGGACCTTTCCAAAGCACACTGGCCTTTGCCCTTTTCCTCAGCTACTCTGCAGTTTATGAGGGATAGATACCAATATTGCACGCACACCTCCAGTGGATAAACTTCTTGCCAAGAAGCTCAGAGCCTTCTGAAATGGTAAGGCCTGGTAATATTGCCAATACTGCAAGCTCCTGGGGGAGGAACAAGGGGTACGGGACTGATTTTAAACATTATGCCTTGGGCACCAGCTCAAAGCCCAGGTGGGGGAGAGGCACCAGCACAAATAAGAATGAAGCTTGTATTTGCCCAGACAGTTCTTCTTGCACATCCATGACTATGTCAACATACAAAGCTTCATTTATGTGAGATGGTTGCCCTTGTCCTTCTCCTTGACAGAAAGAAGGTGAAGGAGAAGTGCTCAAAGCTCCATGTTTTCACGTAGCCTGGAAAAATAAAACCACACAGCACATTTCCCCAGTTTGAATCATATAATTATCGATCAGATCTTTGAGCTGGTGTCAATGTTACCTAGTTCTGACATTTAATGGGCTGCGGTGATGCATACCAGTTGAGGGATCTACCACTGTCTCTCCTGCATCAATGCCAAACAGACTCCATTTCAGTGTCTACCTTGAAAGCCATTTCTGGTCTGTTTCCAACCACCTGGGAAGAAGTTTTACTCTTTAGACACTGCATTTATTTCTGCTGCCACAAATCTCAGAATCTGCATATCTCAATTAATTTATCTCCTGAGCCCTGTACAAAACGCAGTGGGTTGTTACTCCTCCTAGCTTCTACTCATGCTGAGAATATTATTGACGCCAACAGCAAGCATTTTTATGCCTTCTCTCTGTGAAAACACCCTCTCATTTTAAGTCAGACAACAAAGTTTTTCTGCTCATGTAACAATTTTATGATCAAATTAATATTTTATGAAACACTTTTACTAATACAGTGTACTGATTGAAGAGGTGAAGTTAAGGGAAGCTGCTGCTGTTGTCTTTGGAAACTAGTTCACGAAGAGATTACAGTAACAAAGAGGTGTTCATAATAACTCATAAATCTGCTCCTCCAAACCTCATAAAACTCCAGACCTGCTCTTGGATACAAGTACTGATGCTCACAATGAGCAACAATAATTCAGATATTAAAGGACAATGAACAGGTAGAAAATGCAACATGATTAATTTTGACTCATGCTGAGTTAGGTGGGAAAGATCCACACAGTTCTTGCGGACCAAATGCCAGCACAGTCCCACTGACAAAAAGTTAATTTCTAAAAGCCCATATTGTAAGTTTTTCACACTCATTTGGATATATTAAAAAAACAAGATATATCATCCACATTTTATGTTGTTGCCCAGACAAACCCTGTAGCCCATGGATGACATTTTGGCAGTGAGGTGCTGGAACGAAGTGCCCCAGAAGGACACTAGAAAGCCTCCTTCACCCATTAGGAAGATGACTGAAAACAAGAATGCTCACCAGGACATTTTCTGATGCTAATGGGATTCAGGGGAGAAATAGGTGGAACAGCTTCACCTTCCTTTTAAGTGGATATTCCCTGAGTCGTTTGTTGCAAAACTTGAAAAAGGATACTGCTCCTGCAATCTTCTCAGACCACAGTGGAACAGCACGTGACAACACACATGGCAAGAACGCATGCACAAATGAAGTTTATTAACTCTTATCTCCCAGTGAAGAAAAGCGTGTTTGCATTTAGCATACTGAAAACCCAGCCAAGCATAACCTGTCAGCAGAGGAATGCTCATTTAAATCATTCTGCTGGCATCAGGGAAAAAGCAAAAAGATCTGAATATATGTCCAACTAGTTACTCTCATTAAGCAATTAGACAACTCAAAATGCCCCCAGAAATGTACAGAGGAAATGCATAGCTATAGAAAAATTAATTCTCATTTTCTGCGTTCTCCAGGTGTGGTTAGGCTGGTAATCCAAATAAATATATTTGTGTGCTCTGCAAGTACCCATTAGCAGTCTGATCTAACCTTGAAATTGGTTGGTGCTCTAAGCAGGGTGCTGGATCAGGTAACCTCTAGAACTCCCTTCCAGCCTGAATTATTCTAGGATTCAAGGTTGGAAATTAGAAGGTGCCTCACAATCACAGGACTGATAGTTCTGAAATAACTTTCTAAAAAAAAATATACACAACTTGTTTGAAGAGGCAATCTAATAATTTGTGAAACCAATCATATAGCAAGGTCACTTGTAAAGTGTTAGACATTTATACCATTAGGTTCCTTTCAATCCCACATTCTTAAACCACCATAAGCTTTGCCCTTAACAGTTCCCCAGTTTGCAAAAACACTACCTTTGAAATCTGCAAACACATCCAGGAGTTTGCAATGAATTATGTGTACTTCTCAAGAGACATCTGCTTTATGCTTTGTTCTGATATATTCTGATCATGTTTTTTGTCACTACAGCAGTTTGGAAATTCAGCACTTCTGAACAGGTAGGTTAGCATTATACTCCTGCTATGAGCTGGGAATGCTAAATTAGCAGAGTCAGCATGAGGGATTAAAATGGCACTTAGTCCAATATTAAGACTGTATTTCAGTCTTTATGTCACACCCACACACAATAAACACGGGTATTCCAAGCACCTATGGCCAAACTTCTATCAAGCTCCATTTACATGCATATGAATTGTTGCTTTTGTTCGTGATTTCTCATTCTAAGACATTAGATGACAACATACAGGATAAGCTTTTTGGCAATGTCTCAATAAAGCATTTAAATGAATATACAAAGAGATTTATGCTTTTTAAGGGAGAATGTACTTTGGTTTTGATGGGATAGCATAAAAATATAAAATATATTCTGTGTGTGTGTGCATACCTTTCCACCTCAAGAATAAATTTCTCTTTTTTTAGGGACTACCCACAAAAAGTTCATACATTTCAAAAAAATATTTGTTAGCATAGATCAGTTCCAAAAAACATCAGTTGTTCTACCTCTGACTTGCACGTTCATGGGTTTACATTTTTTTAGATACATCTTACTGCACAGTTTCTATTCTCCAAATCAAATTCCCAACTCTTAGAATTATGTAAATACCACATACAATTCATTCAAACTCATTCATCATTTTTTGTTATTATTCCATAATAATTTTTGCTTAACACGAATTCTTGGCTTGTACTCCAGGATGTGAGCCCACATTTCAAATATGTACTTCAGCAAGTTTCTGAATCCACAAACATTGTCAGTTTGAACGCTTTAGAAGTTTTTAAAAACTAGTTGCTCAGTTTATGAAACACGGAAATAGTCACTGCCCAAAACTCACTCATACATGCTTTGCTGCATATTCCTTGTAGCTTTAAAATTAGCTAATTTACCAGTTAATAACAGTGAGGGACACTGTCTTACCTGACAAAATGAGAAGCTCGATGATGTCTGCATCCCCCAGGAATGACGCGACATGAAGTGGAGTTCGTTTCTCGGCATCCTACAAAATCATAGATAGTCCAGTTATAAAACATGGTCTATAACTGCAAGCATTAGTGTTCAAGAGCAATGGATTTGTATCTAGTGTTTATTTTCTGTGTATTTCTGTTTATAATTAGAAATGCAATCTCAAACAGTGAAAGAACACAATCCAAGGACTGAACAACACACTTCCTCCCAGTAATCCTCAACTTTTTTCTCTCTTGGTCACACCAGACTTTGCAGAGACACTGTCTTTACTCTGATATTCTGTTTATAGGTACATCAAATTAAATCAAAGCTAAAATGAGGAAAGACACAATCCTCGTGTCTCTTTCAGAAACATTTTCCACTCAAAGTATTGCAGTGACATAATTCAGATGCTTCTGGGCATCATCATTCTGTCATGTGGTTTGTACCAACAATATAACACCAGACTCTTCAGAAGGGTATCTCTGGAAAATAGTTTGGAACCGCACACAAAGACAAGATGCAATCCTCTTAGTCTACAAAGGTTCCTGTACACCATTCATCTTGGTTGTCTACAGCAGCTCAAAATGGGCTTGTACACCTTGATAGGCCTTTAAACACAAATAAAGAAAATATTACCAATCAGGCCTGTGTCTTTAAACTTAGAAGAATTGCTTATAATCACAGATTTAGCTTCTGAAATACATTTACTTTTATGTGATTGCTGTAATTTTAAGCCTTAGGGAGTCACATTTTCAAGATTTTATTTTCTAACTTCAAGGGATGTAAGCACAGTGTTTACAAAAAACCCTTTCTTTTATTACTTAATTCAGATGAATCCAGAAGAAACTGCTAAACATTATATAGGCAACAAAAATCACAAGAATTACTAAGACCGTTAATCATACTATTTGACCCCTGTAACAGTTCTAAATGTATTTAATTTTGGTTTCTTAACTACTAATACAAGAAAAAGCTCTAAGAAACTTATCAATCAGACTTATCAAACTACAACCTACCAGCATTAAATACTGTAAAGCTGGTAACAGATTCAACACCTCCCGCAAATGATACCATCATAGTAACCCTACCAGTAATTAGACTCTCTCCCTGCAACATACCTCTGAGCCTGTCAAGTAAAATACCACTTTTAACATGACCAAGAGGTCATCAACTGCAAGCTATTTTACTGTCTTCAAAGCATGCCTCAAATGTGGACAAATTAGTGCAGCAGAACCATTTCTCATGTGAACATTGAAAACTGATTTCCAGCACTGCAAGGCACAGAGTCACTGGTCATCAGAATAAGATACATTTAATTTTTATATTTGTATGCTTTTTCAAACACACACGATGTATGATGTAGTCCTGCAATTCTGCTGCAGTGGGTTTTCATCTTACCTATTGGGCATGCACATAAAACACTCAAAAGACAGATTACGTGACACTCCGCTTGTCACAGGTCAGAAGGAAAGTTATCTGACAGAACTTCACCTCCTCACATGGTAGGCAAATTAAAACAATATTGAGTGGCATCCGTCCAGCAGTGCCTGCTCAGGAACTGAAATCACAAGCTAGATTCTCTCATGTGTTCAATTCCTAAGACATAATTCACCACAGGCTGGCTTCTACAGGCTACATGAGTGCATACGAGACCTTTCATAAGTATTGCTTCATATTACCTATCCTAAGCCTATTCATGGCAAAAAATATGCTAAGACTGATTGAACATTTGTACAAAAATATAATTGGTTTTAATTATTGTTAGCTCGTTCATTGTAAGGCATGAACCTCTCTCTAGAACAATGTAGTACTTGTAACAGCTATCGTACCTGTCAGTGATAAATTTTGTGGCAGCTCCTTACATCACAGCCAAGTTTGGCAACAGAACAGAGTAGTTTGAAGTTGAATGCTAACAATACAATTCCAAGCAACTTTCTATATCAAGGAAGCAAGGCTGTTCAGTGCTTTATTGATTCTAAGCAGTATTTTAGACTGAACTTTAAATCTGATGGAAATTTGATAATCCAGGGAATAAAGGATATGAAACAGAAAAGTAGAATTCTTATCCTTCTGTAACAGCAATAACTCTCAGTATTCTCAGATTTCACTTTTTAAAATCAGTGCAAAATCCTATCAAATTAAATGAGAAACAAGTCTTCAGAGAAAGACAGAGTTTGGTCATGCAACTGAATTTAAGCTTAATTCTCCAACAGGAAAAGACCCTAAAATTTCTCCATTTATCACAACCAGGCACAAATCAGACTTCTCCCTCACGTGAACCAGCATTAGACAAAACACAATGTGTGGCATTGACAAATGAACACCACACGGAAGAGTCCTACAGGCAGCATTTTGGTGGAGTTCGGTGGGGAGAAGTCCACACACAACACCTGAGGCTGAGCATGCAGTTGAGCAACTCAACAGAGGATCATCCTCAAGTTCGTGTGTACATTCTGCACAAGCCTGACACAGAAACACAGAGGAATTGGGGCATCCAACCACACCCCTTGCATCCTCCTCACAGCCACCTCCTACTTCAACATGACTTAAACAGCTCGTAGGCTTTGTCTCTGGCCCATGCACTAACTTCTATTCAGCTACAGATATCCTTGTGGCATGATGGTTGTAGATGTAGTACAAATAAGTAAATTAATAATGATCTAAAGACTGAAGGCTACAAACAGAAAGAGAAATAAAAAGAAAATTTGTCATTTCAGGAAAAAGTCTGGCAGTACCCCAAACCTGAACATATATTATCAAGGCAAGGAAAGGAAGGGGGTGGGGAAGAAATGGTAACAGGGTTACAAATAACATTAAGAGAAATAATCAGACCTGCTTCAAGTGCAATTCTCAGAGGAACAAAAGGTCAGTAAGAGACTGTAGATAAGCAAAACAATGGCTAGAAAACCATGCTGAGATGAGACACTCTCTCCCCAAAACTCTACCAGTGACCTATTTTAATTCACAGAAAGGATGCTGCTGCATGTTAACATTATCTGCAAAGTTTTGTTTTTAAAGTAAAAAAGGTAAAGAAAATTAAGAATTTAACAAACAGGCAATCAAGGACAGAGGGCCTCAGCAAGAAAAACACTCAACACATGCTTAAACTGTTCAAGTGATCACAGTGACACTGATAAGGTCCTTCACAGGCTTAAAGTTAGGCTAGTCCTTAAGTGCTTTATTGGATCAGAGCCTTAGAGGCTGAAGATTAGCAGAACAGTGGCTCCAATTAGTCATATCAGCATATGTAAAATATTCAGGCACATTAAGAAAAAGGCCAACAGTTTCTCCTCAACACAGCCTACATCTCAAAGAAGATAATGAATTTGAACTCTTTTGTCAACTGCAGCTTTTCAGCTCAGATGATGTTTGGAATAGTCATTTACTATTAAAACGTAAGTGCAACTGCTACAGAAAATAAACGTCTGTATCCTCTTTTTGTCACCAAACTCCTTGAGCAGCCAACAGGAATAGTTTAGCACAGAAGGAGTTAATGCACCATAGAAACCAAGGTAATGAAGTTTCATTGGTAAGAAGGGTTTGGATTCCAACCACCTGCAAGCAGCCAGGATTTGTCTGGGTGGCAGAAGAAACTAAACTGTATTAGAGGCACATGAATGGCTACAACTTCCATTGATACAAATCCGACCAAAACAATAAGAGAAACAAACCTCCTGCTCATTCACTCGATTTAATCTGTTTCATCTGAGTACACCTTCTTCGAATAGCACAAAGCAGCTAGTACCATTAAAGAAACAAACATTCAGATACAACTTGATTTCAGGAAAATTAAATATTGGGAACTGGTTAGAAACTACAGAAGAGGCTAAAAGCAAATTAGCAGCTACTTCTTGGGCTATTTACCACAGTTCAGAGCCAAAAGACGATGCTGTACAAAGAAACTTTCTGCTGCTTCAGGATTCCCTCCCTCTCACAGATTCTTTTATTAAAGCCTGTAATTCACACAGCAAATTGAAATGTTTAACTGTGAGCACCAGCTGGGAGGTGAAAGTCAAGCTGCGTAACTTATGCCTGGTGCTCTTTCTTCTGCTATTACCAAGCACAGAAATTCCCATCTGAAAACACAGATCCTGGTTCTAGCACCTTTCATCCCCACAGCCTTTAGTTTAGCCTCAGGAATAAAGATTTTTCTGAAGACTGAGTCTTTAATTGCTCATGAGGTGGAACAGGCAAATACTTTTGCAAGAAACAATTCTCTTCCAAGAAGATAAAGAGATGAGAACAAGAAAAATTATCTTCCCTCTCCCTAGTCATCTAACACTTTCCTTCCATGAGGCTGACAGTAGCTTTCACGCTAGAAGAAGATAACTGTTAAGATTAATTACTAATCCTAGATTGAGATTGTAGAAACTGTTATCCTAATTAATGGGAATATTTTAATGTTTATAGCAGCAAGTTTCCAACGTAAGGCTCAAAATATAGAAAAAAGTAACTCCTCCATTTTTATAGATGCAATATTGACTTTTGGGGGGGACTGATGGCGTGGGAGCATACATCACTGATGAGTTACTGGGAAAAGTAGACTTAGAAAATTCAGGTATTACAGGCTGGCGTTGCTGCCTTTGAAGAAAATAAAGCAGCTGCAGCCAAAACCTGCCATTAGCTTTTTAATGGCTTATAAATCCTTAACTGTCTGAAACATTTGGTGGTTAAACCACAACATGAGGACACTCGATAACATGAGTCACCACACAGATGTATATACCCTAATACCCACTAGTATACTAGCGTGTTGTACAAAGCAACTCAGAATATTTCAGACTCTCAGTAAACTCCAGCAGAATCTTCCTCCTTCTCCTTTATAAAATATTTTTATAAAAATACTTATTTTCTAAAAGAAAAAATACTTATTCTAACTAAAAGTCATGCTGGCTATCTTGCATCACAAGCATCAATGCAATTTCATATTCCGTTTCCTTACATAACTGAGAATTGTTCATACTTCCCTTATGTAGCAAAAAAATATTCCGTCACTTCCCACTTAAATTAACAGCATATCAAACAGCACTACTAGAGGCTAAATACCCACTGAAAACACAGCTAGCACCAAACTGTCATAACGGTGTCAAAGCAGAAGCCTTCCAAAGTTCTTGACTAAATCCACCAGAAAACTTTCCAGCACAGCAGAACTACATCTCGAAGATGAGCATTTACTTCCAGGATAGCTTTATTCTCCCACAGGACTCCACAGCACCAGAAAGAAAACCATCACTCCTTGGATGAGACCAGAGATGAGGGTCTGGTTCCCAAGATTATTGACATACCACACTACGGTCTCTCCTAGGCCCAGGTCAAACATGTCACTCCAAACTGAACAACAAGCTGGTTTTCACATTAGCTATTGCAAGCAGGCAAAGCCTTTTAGGCTCACAATCCTAAACCTGTGCGCACTTGTACCCAAGCACTCATACCTCCTCAAAAAGCATGCTTAGCAACATTACAGAAACATACATAACTTGTGTGCGTTTGTAAAGACCTCGATAAAGCCTGAATCCTCCTAACAAAAGGCAGTCCTGCAAATCTATGCCTTACCAAGTAGAGAGAGAAAAATAAGTAATAAACAGCATACACCCATGGCTTTCTATAAGGACTTCCTTCTTGCCCTCCTTATCCTATAATAAACCAACTTCAAAACGCATGGTCCTGCACATAAGGCCTTGCAATCTTTGTTGGTGTCACTGCCCCTTCCTCTGCAGACTTGCTCTGCAGCTACAGACAGGCAGGCAATGCCCAGGGTCACTGCACCTCGATGTGGTTCAAAGCCATCTCCAGCCTGGCCCATCAGAAATTACTGCTGCCCACCTAGATCTGCCTGCTCTGCAGCTCTGCTGTAATGAAAACAAGCCAAATTCAGCTAAACCTTCTCCAAACCGATCTCATTTTTATGAAAGTGGGTAGGGGAGCATTTGCACAAGCAGCTCTTGACACCAATAAGCAGTGAGAAGCAGCAGCTTTTTCAGCTGGCAGAGCATCAAGCAAAGAGGCTACGAGGATCAAACTCAGAAGGCTGCATCGGCAACCATGCCACAACAGCAGAAACAGAAGCAATTAAGTTTTGAGAAAGCAGATGTTGCCTTTAACAGTCTCACTGGTGGGATGAGGAGGTTTATGATTTACTTCCCCAAAAATATAAATGCAGTAGAAGATATTCTGGGGATATCAAAGGTTTGCATATATATATATTTTTTTTTAGGGTTCTATCCAAGAGAAAATGCAGGATTAGTGTATAATGAGTGAAAACAGAGGGAAGGAAATGCCTGATTTGGCTTGCAAACATCACATTAGTTATGGGGAAGAATACTGGAAGGTTTTTTTGCCTTTTTTTATTTGACTGAATATTCTGAAGGGAAATTAAACTGGAAAATTGAGATGAAAATGGAAATTTTACAGGAAGGATTTCAGTTTAGTATAAAATCATGGCATTGCACTTAAGAACTGGACTCTGCAGACTGTGCTGCACAGCTGCATGTATTACGAATCCCAGCTAACCAAGGGTTACCACTGGATCCAGAATAATCCCTAGATTCTGGTGGTCATTTCCTCAGTCTTCCCTAAGTAAAAATAGCATCCCAGAATATCCCCACCTACACACACATAGCACGATCACCCTGCTATTTCTAAACATACCAAATGGCAAGTATAGGGGATGTCTACCTGGAACTAATTTGGTGGTCTGGATGGTCCAACTCAGTATCCCAAACACCCTGGGAAAGCAGGCTGCTGAACATGGCCCACAGGCAGACCACACTTCCCATGGAATTAATGCACATTCGGGACTTGGTGGTAGGGAATCGCTCACTGCCAGCCACGTATCATGTTGTCCATGCCCTCAGGGTGCAATGGTAGCAACATGTTCCCTGAAAGCGCAGTTAGGGACTGGAGGGGTCAAAGTGACAATTACGGTGGCAGAATGAACTAAAACCACACTTCTAAGCCAAACAGTTTCAGCTTTCACTTTGTTGCAAAATAGAAGTCACAATTATAGCAGCACCCAAGACACAGCCATTTCCATCAACACACACTTCCCAGCTTGGAAAGATCCTAAATATTTTACCAGGAGAAATAAAAAAAGTAACCTTCTAAACTTCTGATTTGTTCTAAACTCTTTCCTCCAAGATTAATTTTCTCTTAGGAAGTATGCAATACATCCCTAATTTTGCACAGTATCTCCATGTGCTTTTTTCTTCTGCCTTCCAAATACTTACCTTGCTGCAGATTAAAAGGAAAAAAATAAAAATATTTTTAAAACTCCAGAAATTCCCACAGCTTGCTGAAAAAACAGAGTTTTATTTTGTTCCCCTGTCCTACCTATATTTGAACTATTTCAATATTAACACAGCTAACCAAAACTAGCAACAAAGGATGAATTGCTGCCAAACAGTGTCAGACTTTCCTCTCACGTGAGCAAGCAAGCACTAGAGAAACACTAACATGGAAGTAATTAAAAACACCCTCAAAATAGAAACATAAGCACGCGATGCAAATTGCCAGCTCACAGCACAAGGGAGAAAAATGCTATCTTTTGATCTTTAGTGACCTTTCAAGAATTTGACACTTGTCTGCAGTCTCCCTCCAGAACACAATCTTCAGGATTCATGTTGACCAGTATTTTTTTAATTACTTCAAAGAACAGCTTTTCTTCATGCTCCTGACAAATAGTTGTTCAGGCAAAGCATTCTTGGATGGACTTTTAGCATCTGAAACAGGATTCTGGGCAAGACCATTCAAGTTCAAAGACTTTTCCTATTAAGTACTATGGTACTCATCTATAAAATACATATTCTTCATTTAATATCGCACCTGACAGTTGAAAGCATCTCCCTAGAAACCATCACTACCACACTTGCAGCCAAAGGATATAAAAACATTTGAAAAGCCTATAATAACCTTGTGCAGGAAACACTATTTTGAAAAACCAACATGAAACACAGAGGAAATTTTAGGACTACCATGCTCATCTAGGTTGGGTTTGGGTTTTTTTAGGTTGGTTGGTTTGGGTTTTTTTCTTTGTTTTTTTAAGATGACCATCAGGGACAACAAATAAAGAGGAAACTGAAGGGAGATAATGCATTAAGGAAGCACTTTTAGGAACTTATTTCCAGAAAACAACCAGGTACTGATAATCACAGGGTAAGCCTAGCATCAGGGTCATCTTTGATCAGGTTCCCCACTTACAACAGCAGCAAGTCTTCCCTTCCACTTGATGGCAAATGCAGTGGAGCCCCAGTCTACTAGGCCTCTGGGATCACTTCTTCAGTTCTTTTCTGAAGCAGATGCTTGGATCCCACTGCCTGCAAAAGCTGCAGTGCCAAGACTACACCAGGCAAACCACTGGGGTTAGCTATGAATAAACTGATGGCTTTATGTCAAAGAAAGACAAGAAGAAAAGGAAGGTTGATTCAGAAGTCCAGGAAATGCCCAGTAATCACCATTCTGCTTCTGCTTTACATTCTCACCACTTTCAGAGGCCACCGATTGTAGTCACGACTGGCAGGGTTAATATCTAACAGTACAGATTTAAGTTAAAATCAAAGAAGAAAAAAAAAACAATTTCTGCAAAAAGATCAAGTTCAAATTGAGATTTTATTTTTTTCTCACTGCTAAAACACTTAACTACTACTTGTTTACAGCCGCTTACCGTTGTTCTGGCTAAAATAAGCCAGTCTGCAGAACAGTAATTCCTTTGTGGGGTAACAGTGGCCAAGATACTGCTTCCTTACACATTGCTGAGACCTATAGTGATCAAGTACAGTCAAATGCTGAATAACAGCTCCTGATCTGCAAAGACTCTCCAGAAAAGGAAACTACAGAGAGCAAAAATATGCAGCTTTCAGCTGTATTCATTCATTTTCTCAGCAAGAGAGAAAACAATGTCCCTGACTGACCTGCACATTTGGAATAATTACCATACACTTCGAAAATTTAAAGTCACCTGCTGGAAGTAATTATATTTCAGATTACTAATTAGGATTTCACTGAAGCCCCAATTCTCTACCTTCCAAATAATTTCCATTCTGTTATGTGTTCATTACTAAGGACGTGATTAAAACTGTCATTGCAACAGTTCAGAAGCGCGGTGCTTACATATCCCAGGCACATAAGATGCCAACTCACATACCAAGGCATTGACATCCTCAGTTTTGTAGATCAACATCCGTATCTCTTCTGGATCGCCACTGAAAATCGCTTGAACCAGTGGTGGCTGGAAAAATAAAACAGAAGAAGCAGCATTACAGGTTGGTTTGTTTTCTGTTCAAGATGAGACCCTATTATTCCTGCTAACATTTACTAATGCCGTCCACAGACACCGAATGACCCCAGAAACAAATCACCAAGAGTATCTCATCAGTAAGAGCCATCAGTTTGCTTGAGGAAAAACCAAAACCATGAGTATGTTTGCACATATAAGGAGCGTGTGTGTGCACAAACAGGGACCCCCATTAGAATGGCAACTTTTGTCAACAACATGCAATTAGCCCAGATGTTCTCCTTGGCACGTAAGGGGAAAACTAATTACATCAGATACTGCTGTGTGCTTGCTGTTGGCACAGATTAATGGTCACGCGATACAAATTTAGAAACAGAACATTATGCAGATAATGAATTTCTGGGCAATTACTAACCATCTTGTATCTTTTTACTGAATAAATATGCAATGAGCACAGTTAATTTTAACCACCCAAGAAGCAAAATAATTATCTTATTGTTTCAAGTCTGTTATTATGCTATTATGAATCGGAATGCATAAATAAATAATCAAGCATACAGGAGGAACAGTAAACCGTGCTCATTCCTCTGGCAATGCTGGCGTCACTGCCCATCAGTGGGAGGAAGCGCTTCATATGCTCAACTGCTCTGTTAAAAGTCCAGAGCTGGGAACTTCAGCCCTTTTGCCTAGGTTTGCCCTGGACACCCAGTAGCAAATATCCGAGTTATTAAGCAAGCTGGCAAAGCACAACCTGCTGAATTAAAAGAACAAAAATCTTGATGCTCAAGACTCAAAAAAAGGGGACAAATCACAAAGATTCCTATCCCCTGAAGCACATAGGTGAAATAGGCAGTAGCCCCATTTCCACCCTCACCCCTCCTGAAGGCACTGTGTGTCCTCCCTGAGCTCGCTGCCCACCTCCAGGCTGCTTCATGGTCCCACTAGCAAAAAAGAGTTTGTGGTGCCATGCAATCACCAGGATTTAAAATAACCCTGCAAAAAGGAAGCATACATTACTACTTTAGCATTACTACTTTAGCACATAAAACCGCAACCGTTCTTAAGATTCTGCAGAATTCAACTATCTTGTAAACAAGTTATCTCAAAATCCACAAACAAACTGGAAGAACAGAAAAATATCATTTTTTCCCAATCTTTTCACTTCAAAATACATCATACTCAAACATGGAAAATACATTTCTAAGCTGATGGTGTCTATTTTAAGACATGTTAATCCCTTATATTCTTGAGAAAGATTCACACTGGAATTTTATTCTTGTCACTTCTCTGATGGAAAAAGGACTAAAGCAGCATCTTTAAGCACAACTGTCTGTAGTCTTATGTATTGCAGTAAACGTTTGAAATACAAAGAAAAAAACCTGCATTGCACTTGAACCATTTAGCATGCTTGCTTCCCAGCCCATGTCAGAATAGCCACAGACTATTCCCCACCAGAGGATGCAAACACCAGCCCTCAGAGTCTGATCCATTCTCCCTCATCTGCCAAACTCTAACAAATCAGAATTTAGCTAAGAGTGAGACGGTCTCATTTCTGCATTTTTCTCTACCAAAAGAAACTACTTCAAGCGATTCTCTGATCTTATGCCCACTGGCACACTAATAACAATTAATGTCCTAGACTTAGGGCAAACCTAACACTAACAGCCATGAAGAACCAGTGAATGTTTATGAAATTAGAATGCTCACACCAAAATATTTCAATTTCACCTACATTTATCATAATATTTAAATAACAAAGTAAACAGGAAACCAAATAACTCCTTTATTTCAAGCTGAACAGCAACACAACCCAGTGGTCAAGCAAAAAACACCAGCTGCAGGTACACCCAGCACCCAGCGAAAGGCATCAGCCAGGCCCTGGTGGCGCGTGAGCTGAGACTTCAGAGGTGCCATCACTAGGAGAAAAACTCAACACACTTCAGACCTATTGGATTTTTTTAAACGTTCAAATACTGTTACAGGTAGGATTTTTTTTTAATGGGGAGAGAGGAAGGTTCTGTGCACCATTTAATTAAAAAAAGAGGAAACTCTATAATAAGACAGCTTGACCCTTCTTCCCTCTGCCAGAAATCTGAATCAGACACCTGGTTATACAGGAAATGCTTGAGCTTTTTAATTAGCATGAGCTACTTAACACAGAAAGCAGACTAACACCATATTCTTTAGACCCGTAGCATATATAGTATCCTCATCTCAATTTTTGTCCACTGTACCACTGTCATATCTACAAGCAGTTCCTAATACTAAAACTCAGTACTTATTGTGCCTCTGAAGCAGGTTATGTCTCACACAGCTTATAGACATCACCTTTGCTGACAGAAGATAGCTGCCATATACGCATTTGCAAAGGCCTTAGTCTTTTAGCCCTTTTTTTACTGAGATTTACTTTTTATAAATTAATTAAATAGAATTTATCGCTGCTAATTGTAACTCAAAGAGACAGAGATTACAGAGAATGATCAGAGCCTGCAAATTGAAAAGAGCAGATAAGACCAGTGCAGGTTAATAACCATCTTGACTCTCTGCTGTGCAGCTTTTGCCAGTTGGCCATTTTTCCTAGTTTACCATTTCATGATTTTTCTCCATTTTCAAAGGTATTAGTTTTGAAGTGAGAAACACTTTACTGTTAAGGAATCCTATTACATGCTGAAACATGTCACTGTGTGTCTAAGAGGCACACTCATCTACAATGACCTGTTTAGAAAATTGTCAGTGTGTTGCAGCGTTGTTGATGCAATTTGAGGTCAGAACGGAGAACGTGCATCCACATCCGTCAGCACGACAGAAAAAGTGTTGCTCCATTCAGCAGCTGACAGCAATGAAATGGCGCTCCCGCAGTTATGTCCGTGCTGATGACAGAAGGCCAATGACCTGCACAGACTACTCTCTTGATCTTCAGTGCTAATCATGTTCATGCACTAATCACTTCAACTTTAAATAACTTTTTTTTTAAATTCCTGAAGGGCGGATAATGATTCTTCCTAATTATCGAAGAAGGACACAGTATATTTTTGGAAATAATTTCTAAAACCTGTGACAGCATCATTAACAGGTTATTTCATTAACAGAAATATTTTGCTTTAAAATTCTTCAAATTCAGAAGTTGGACTTGGATGAAGGGAAAAAAAAGCAAGCACAGAGCAGGTTATCTATAACTATTATTAGAATTAAGCAAGGGTGCAGGTTGTGGAATGATGAACAACTGTTTCATTAGCTCAGCTCTCTGGAGCTTCCAGGTTCTTAAAGAGAGTTTCAGTTGGGAGTGTCCACATTTTTTTCCTGAAAACTTACACCAGCAGCTAACAAAAACCTTTGCATGTTACTTTTTCTACACAGTTACTATTATGAGTACAAAACTCATCACTAAGTTTTATTGGAGTGTTCTCTACTTTGTGCTGTAACAAGCAGTGTAATAAAAGTAAAATTTTATCTGCAGACATCTTCCAATGCTGGAACACATCCCTATCTTCACTGCATATGGGGCAGTTGCAAGCTGGACTTCACTCCACCAGGTAAAATCAGCTCTTTGAACCAAAGGCACAGTTATTATTTCACCAACAGAGATCTTAAATGCATAAGGAATAAAGTCCTGTGGCTCTGCTGGTGCCCACAGAGGTGATAAACCACACCAGCAGAAAAAATCTGACATTGGGAAATTCTCCTCCATAGATCCAACAACACAGAGAAAAGTTGAGACAACTACCAAGCAGCATTCACAGGTTTCTGAACTCCAGAGAAGATGAAGTATTTCAGCACTGTCTCAAATATCATTTTAATTACTATGTCCAAAGTAGGTGCTGAAGTTCCTAGCAAACCAGTCTGTATTTTCATCAAGTAACTGTGACATATATTAAATATTTTGCCTTGATTTTAGATATCCTGACTCACTAACAAGGACTTATTTAAGCCAGATCTTCATTTGACAGAAGCTGGAAGCAAAAACTAAAAGGATGATTGATTTCCACGCTAATTTGATAAAATGTACTATTATTTGGTCTTGCAAGTAAAAATAAGTTATATATTGATCCTATACTTGATCTAATTGCATTACATCAAGTTGCTGAACTAAACATTTGGATACATTCATGTACTCATTTCCCTTTAACTGGCAAGACAACACAGCAAGACACATAATCATTTCAAAGTGGTATTGATTTTGTCAGTGTTTTGCCAAACACCTCTTTTTTTCTGCAGGTACTCCCATTAATCAAGATTACAAGGTTGTCTGCAATGTCACATCTCTTACATCTATTTCCTTCCACTGGTCACAGCACAGACTACTCCTCCTAAATTTAATTTAGGACTTTCTCCCACTAAGTGTACAACACACCAACATCTGAAATGCCGTTTTAATTTAAAAGTCTGTATGAGTGACCAGTCATGAAGCGGATTTCTCTTAATTCTTAGAGTGCATTTCCCTGGTGCTTAGTATTTACATAGTTTTGTGTACAGAAATTGTTCAACACTAATAATGTTTTAACAGGCCTTGCAGTCTAATTCACTTGCATCAGTGGTTAGCCTTTTAGTGTGTTTTGGGAATTAATTGCTGGCTAAATAAAAAGAGAAGTTTCCTCTTAATTTGTTACTATCTCAAGGATTGTGTTTCTGTTATTGGAATTTCTGTATGCTGGTTTCTGACAGCAAAGTACTTTCCAGCAAAGAGCTGGTATTTGGAGAAGAATGTCCTTGGATGGTTGCTAAGGCATGTTTCAGAGCAATTACAGATTTTTACTGAGTGACTCCTAAGGAATACTTGTCCAAGTTACTGAAAGGCCAGTGAAGAGAATCAAATCCATAAATAGGTGTACTTGTCCTCTGGAAGCACCATGGCGAATGGAGAGCATTGTTAGCTGAGCAAACGTACATACCTAGGACATTTCTACTGACCAGATCAATAAATACCTTGTACACTGCAATATTTCAAATACAGCAGGAAAAAGTTTTTCAATTAATTTAATTTTAAATTCTTA